TATTTGGGAGATTCTTCAATCTATCCTGGGGTGAATGGGTGCTCTTCCTGATAGCATTGATTTGGTGATTCGCGGATGGACCTGCAAGAAACAGATTAGTTGGATGGAGTGGTTCCGAAACAGGTTGCTTCATGCTCTTTGCTGGGAGATTTGGAAAGAAAGGAATGCTAGAACGTTCAAAGACAAGATGAAAAAGGGGAAGATGATTGCTGTCAAAATTGGGAAGACCCCGTTGAATTGGTGTTCTGATCATAGTGTTATTAGTTCTCATAATCGTCTTTTATGGATGAGATCAATTACTCGAACCTGCCAATCTATTTTTACCTGAATGTGTTGGTGGGTGGTGACGAGTTGGTTTGCTTGTGTGGTTTCTTCTGTTTTTCCTCATTTTTCCTTTCTTGTCGTTTGTTCTTCAGGTTGTCTCGTTTGGAACTCTTTTTCCCCCTTGTTTCTGGCCTTTCGGATCACTGCTAGCGATCTGATTGGCTTGAACTTCTTTCCCTTTTCAATTTCATTTTTTCAATAAATTCACCCTTATAAAAAAAGAGGATTCCAACTAAACAATAAAAAATATTGTTTTTCATAAGTCCAAACGATTTTTTTACAATAAGAAAAGTAGAAGGACCAATTATGAAATTTAGAAAAACAGAATATTTCAAGAATATTCTGTCAACTTTGACGAAATGCACTTAATAGTAAACTTAAGTGGTACCGGGTGTACATATAATAGAGTTGAGTGATACGCGATGCCCTATTCTTAGTTATGTGATATAACTCTCCCAATTCTCATACTTTAGTGATACCCGAGATATTTTACCCACTTTTTCTTTGAGTCGTGTTTACTTTGGGTCTCATAAATGCATGTATTAATTTTTTCCTTGAATTTATGTATTAATTTAACTAATGGTCGGTTCTTAAAATATTATTATTATTTTTAGTGTCTTTCTTGATGTTTTTCTACTTCATTTTGAAATATATATGATAGATATATGAACAGCTTGTTGTATTTTCGTCATTAATTACGTCATATTTAAACGATAAAAAATTATATTCAAATTGAAAATTACATCTAAATGTTCATTATATTTAATTATTATCTAATTAAAATGATGAAATCTACAACAAACAACATTATGAAAAAAATAGAAACTTTGGCACTTTGACATTCGAACACTCCTTGTTGGAGCTAGGGATGACAACATAGCCCGAATCTACGGTTACCCTACCCGACCCAACCCGGTCAACGCGGATATAACCCGTATTGACGGATTCTGGGCCGGGTTTGGGTTTAAACCGGTTTACTGTTTTGCGGGTTGGGTTTGGGTTTAGCTATATCCAACTCGCTCTAACCCGTACCCGTACCCAATCACGAATCCCTTACTCACTTTCCATTCGGCCATTCTCCCATACTAATCTTCCTTGTGTTTGTGGAGACATGTCTAATTTGTTCTTCCTAATTGTGTAAAATGAAGTTGATATTATAGAGTGGAGAGGGAAGAAGTTTAGTTGACAAGGAGGAAGAAGGTTTCAATTAATTATATTGTTTATGGATGTTTATCTTTAATGTTTAACAATTTGTATGGATACCTTGTGGGTTGCTTGTATGCTTTAGATTTGTATTTTTTGTGTAGACAATTTGTATGAGAAGAATGATGCTAGACTTTTATTCTGACAGAAACTTGTCAATGTATATTTTTTATCACATAACACATGGGTATCCATAAACCCGCGGATATCCAACAGGCTGTGTTCGATTTGAGTTTTTCAAACCTAATAAATTTTAGCATAATTTTTTTGATGAATATACTCATAAATTTAGGTTTGACAAAACCAACTCAACCCGACCCATTGAGCAAGATTGACTTTTGAGGACGCCTTATTTAAAAGGGGGTTACCGTGGGCCATGCAAAACGGCTGTGGACGCTCGTGGATTTAATGTAGGGCTGGGCGAAACCATTGGACTCATCGGTTTTGATCCTTAGACCAAGACGACAAAAAGTGGTGGGACGGCATAAAAGAAGTGAAAAATTCCATGAATCCATATAGAAATCGGACTTTATTTTCCCCAATTTTTTTTTAAGCCTGCCACAAAGAACATGAGAACTTATCCTAAGAAAAGCTAGCTAGATAGAGAGTGGAAGAATGAATACACAATACAATAACAATAATTTCGTGAAATGATAGGAAGAATGTGTCAGAAGAGAAAAGAGGCCAGGTACGTATTCAAATACAATGCATCTTTAGAGTAGAAACATTTACATACAGATACAGGAATACAAAACTACTATACAAAATTAATTATAAATATTTTTTGTCTAACTTATACATTTTTTTCTCACTGCAATACTAGTAAAAATTAATATTATTTGAGATGAAACGATGAAAATGAAAACAAACAGCATAGTATACATTGTTATTTCTACTTTAATTAAAGTCAAAAGAAGATTAATTAATAAATAAATCATGGTCCATGAAACCGTATCATACCAGCGGTTGGATCATAAAATATCAATATCGACGGCTAAACATATAGTCGATATTTAATGATATTAACATTTATACTACAATTAAATTGTAGTTTTTCATAAAATATTCTACCAGTGACTTATGAGTGTTAAAATAAACTTTCTAATTTTTTTTGCGTGATAGTAATATACCACATATGGACAAAGGAATAGTAGAGTGGGATGTTGGGAGCATAGTGAGATATCACACATGGAGTCTAAGCTATCTGTATTTCCAATTCCATTGGCTTCTTCTATCCGCTGGCTTAGATGCGGTTTGACCATTTTCGTATAATTTTTTTAAGTATATGGACTTTTGTCTTCTTTTGTTTGTGTACTCTTTGGTATTTAATGTTGTATTAAAATACAATTACACCCATTTTGTTTTTATTTGGGCTGCAATAAATCATTATACGAGTATACGTGTAATAGTTTCTTATGAATAACTATAAATAAATATGAAGAGAGGGGGAAGTTGGAATTTAGTGAAGCATGATCCTTGAGACATGAACACCAGTGTAGTTCGATCCTGCCTTGGGAGGCAGCCTACCTGCCCATCCTCAATAAACTGGAGCCCCTAAATCTCTTATTTTGGAGACAACGAATTTGCTCCTTTTCTCTTAACAATGTTTAAGTATGGTAAGTTGGGATGAGTACTAGGTTGTTAACCAGGTTGTTATCAATTGGTTAAAATAGGGTTAATTATGGATCATATACCATTTTCTTACACACTCTTTAAAACAAAAGTCAATTCATAACTTGAAGTTTGTACATATTCACTATACCTTGTGCTTTTAAAAATTATTAATATTGTGGTCGTAGAGATTCGAACACACAATAACTTTATTAAATCAGCTTTGATATCATGTCATAAGCCTGTTGGTCCCAATAACTTCGAGTTATGCCAAGAAAGTTAATTATGGACCATATATCACTCTCTTTCATGCCAACTGGGATAGAGAGATGTTCTATTCGAATCTCGGTAATCGGCATTGGTAAGCACATGGTGTCTGATGCATGTGCTAATTTCAAACTTATATGAGTGACTTTCGTATTAGGCGACGTGTTAGTATGTGACATAAGAAGATAAATTATTGAACATCTCCCAATAACTCGAGTTATTGAAACTACTGGTTTATGACATATGTATTATTCTGAATCATGGAATAACATAATAACATTGTAAAATTGTGTTATCGTGCTAACATAAATATGACCAATTATATTAATTTAATGATGAAATTTATCTAAATTTTTTTAGATAATTAACTTTCTATTATTTATTAATGGATCATATATATTCTATTTAATTTGGATTACAAATGCTTTGTATAGAAAAATTATATTAATTATGATATTCAATATGAGATGCACTTCAATAAAAAAAATTTAGCAAACAAATCACATCGTTCAATACTTGCATGCCCTTCTTAGTTTCTTGTATGCATTTTTTAGTTTAGGGTGTATGTATTCTTGTGTTTCTTCCCTATTAATTGTATTGCTCTTCTTCTATGGATTCCTATAGTGTTAGGACCATAATGACATATTTTTATATTATTATATTATCTTTTCCCTTAGATGGACGACAAATCTTCTCTACGAGTTCATGTTTTTAATCTTTATAAATATAACGGTGATTGTTGGCTCCAAGCTAGATTTGAATCTAAAGCATGATAGATGTTAACATCCGTGTATAGTGATTGTTGGCTTCAAGTAGGGTGGCTATAGGGTCCGAACCGGTTAAATTGGCATGAATTGATCCGATTTCAGTCCGGTTTTTTCGGGAATATAAGGACCAAAATTTGGATTGGATACAGTCCGGTCTTGATCCGGTCCGGTCTCAATGAGGTCTTGATTATAGATTGATATTGTGGAGATTTTAGTGGAGTTTTGGGTGTTGGGCTCTCTTATCCGGTCTTTATCCGGTTTTGGTTCGGTCCCGAACGGTTTTTTGCCTCAAATCTAAACCCGAATATGAGATTGGATTGATTGTTATTCGGTCCCGGTCCGGGTTATACGGTCCGATTTTGGGTAAAACCAAAAAGCCCGGACCAAATAGCCCGCCCTTGCTTCAAGCTAGATTTGAATTCAACGTATGATATATGTTAACATTTTTGTACGTTATTACCATGCCAAACCCTTGATGAAATTCTGTAAGTTAAAGTTTCCTGCATTAAAGCTTTACCTAGTAAACAAATTGTGGAAATATATCTTCTAAGTAGAAATATCTGTTGTGAACTTGTGATCCAAGAGTAGTAGTACCCTGCTGATCTTGATGAGTTTTCTCAAGGAGTCGCCGCCGTGCATGAAACTTTGAAGGAGTTTCCTCCCTCTTATCTTGCTGTCTGTGGTTCATTCTCTTCAGAGAATGAACAATAATAAAAAGTAAAAACAATTTATCGTAAGAACATAGAGATGGAACCAACAGCTTAATTTATTGAATATTGATCCGTACTTAGCAATGACTTTATTTTCATCCTCTTGCTTTACGTACGCTGATATTTAATGACTTCATTGCCCATCACGTCGCTTTTGCTAAACTCACACGTACGTACGATCTCTCTTTGCATTGCGTTACTTACACAATCTTAGCTATCCAATCAAGCTACTGTTCACACACCCACCAAAAAGTAAAAACCTAGCCACTAATGAAAACATAGGACAGTACGTTCACATTAAAGCTTAGCAAACTGATCATATATATAATAATTAACTACCCATCCATGCATTACAAAGCAATCGTTTCACAACAATTACAAACTCGAAAGAGATCGATCGAGAACATTAATTACCCTAATTTACACGAATAATTAGCCCCGATACACAAATTAGCCAAAAAAGCCTCTTACTAATTACTTAACCCCCACAGATTAATTCATAAGCCGTACGTCGTCGTTGTCGTCGTCATCATCATCATCCTATAAATGTATTATTGTTACGAAAAAAAAAACTAACGATGGGCGAAAGATCAAATGAGTTAAATCTCAAAGCATTTGCATCGATCCAAGCATCACACCATGATGGTGATGATGATTCCCATAGGCCGCCGAAGGAGACGGCTGACCACAACCCCCATTCTTCACCGCCGCCGCACCACCGCCACCAAACCCCGCCGCCGCAGGAGAGAACGGGAACCCACCACCAAACGTCACCGGAGGCCGAGTTGCACTCGCGCCGGCCTGCTCGAGGGACTGGACCTGCTTCTTCAAGAACTTGACGTAGTGGATGGCCTCGTCGAGCATGGAGGCGGTGTCCATCTTGGTCCCGCCGGGGACCAGCCGCTGGAGGATCCGAATCCGCTCGCTGATCCGCTCGCGGCGGTGCCTGGCCGCGACGCTCTGCGGGTCCTTGGAGATCCGGACGTTGCGGCGCTTGGGTGGCTTGACGGAGTCCGGGTCGATGTGGATTGGCTGCATGGCCGCTATCCGGAAGATCATCTCCCGTATAGCCGCCGTCGAGTTCCTCCTCTCCAAGGTTGTTGCCGGAGGAGGAGGAGGGTACTTGAGGAAGAAGTTGGGGTCGGGGAAGGGAGTGGTGGCGGCGGGTGGTATAAATGGTGGTTGGGAGGAAGGTGGTGGTGGGAGGACGACGTCGTTTTGGAACATCATGGAGATCATGTCGAGGTGGTGGTGGTCGTTGGATGTGGTGGACGATGAGGATGATGTGTTGTGGTGGTGAGGATGAGTCATGAGGTCAACGTCCATGGCGAGAAGGGGAAAGGGAAATGGTATGGGGGGAAGGAGAGATGAAGCGAGATGGAGTGCTTCTTTTTAGGGTTATGGGTTGGGGAGGAAAATGGTGAAGGGAGCGCAGGGATAAGTAAGGAGAGAGATCAGCTGCTGCTGCTGCTCATCAGAAGACCCATCACCGAATTCAGCGCAGCGCGGGGTGGTGTTTTCTTTTGCTTTTGTTGGTTGCAGAGAGAGCGATGAGATAGATTGAGAGGGGTTGGAAAGCTACGGGGGAAAGGCTTTAAATAGCTACCAACTTGAGTTCTCTCATTTACTTTATGAGAGAAAAAAGAGAAATGTATTTTGTGGATTATTATTGGAAGCAAAAGTTTGGGAGGGAGGGTTGACAGAGGAAGTGTCTCATCTATGTATTTCGATTTAAATTTTATGACATTGAACCCGATATGAAAAAACAAAGGAATTTATTTTTTACAGATATTTAAATTAATGGGATGACGCCAAAAAAAAAAAAAAAAGTTGGCACGTAATTTCTTGGAGTGTTACGGGCAATATATATTTGACTAGAATGTTGGTTTGCATCTAGGATGGTAACATTTTTTACAAATTTACCGATTGTTTTCATGAACTCTTATCATATAATGTATTGAGGAAAATAGAGTAATACTTGAACGAGATTGGAGATGTTCTCACAAACAAATCGACTAACTAAGCGTTGGTTTAGGGAGGGTTCATCAACGACTAAAAATATGTGTGTATATATATACAATAATTCACTTAAAATCTCAACCATTGATCGATCTGATAAGATACAATACAACTATACAAGTGATGATAAAATCTGAATCTGAAAGAGAACAAAAGTGGAGGAGGAGATGATGTTGGTGAAGATCAGAAGATGAGATGGTGGAAAAAGGCAGTGGGACGTTTTCACAGAATAAGCCCCCACAAACCATAAGGTCGAGACCCAAAAAAAGGGATCCATACGGTGCAGTGCATCAACCCATTTTCAGCCACCCTCTACTCTCCACCTTTCTTTCCTTTATTACCCACCTCCCCTAGGGCCCACAACCTCCTTTCCCTATTCTCTCATTTCCAAAATAACAAAACAGAGACAAAAAAAAACAAATAAAAAAGAAATTGGTGTTCTTCCTGCTACTGGCAAGCTTTGTTCTGCAAAATTCTTACTACTGAGAGAATTATTACCAGATCTTGAGGGAGGGAATTCCTTCAGGCTTACAGAAATGAACCCATATATGATCAAACAGATACCCCACAATCCCATGGCATCTGTCAGAGAAACAGCAATCACCACCTCCCTTTTCTTCCCACACTCTGGTATTAATTTTTTTCTAACTTGTTTATTCTAAAGTAAAAAAAAGCTAACCACTAAAAGACACTTTCTTTAACACTAGCTGTCATGTAACAAAAATGGGTTTCCCTCAAAAATAAAAATTTCCCAATCCCTCTATAGTTATATAAAAAAAAGGCAAAATTCATCTGTGTAGCCAAAATTTTCACGTTTGTGACAATAATAGCCACTTTTGACGAAATACCAAATATAGCCAGAATTTTGAAAGTTTCATGACAAATATAGCCATTTCCGTTACATATTTTAACGGCGTCAGTGACACTGTTAATCAAATTAACGGAAAGCTTACATGGCTGCCAACTCACCGAACACATCATCGACAACTTAACAAACACTTGCCACATGGATGCCATGTCATATTTTAATTTAAAAATAAATAAAAATTATAATTTATTTTCTCATCCTCTCTCCCCACTATGTCGTCCTTTCCCATTCCTTCCACCGCCGATTCTTCCCCTTCCTCCTCTGCTGCTCCCTCCCCCTGTTTTCCAAACCCCCACCCAACAATCTCCTCCATATTTTCGCCGCCACCGCAACCGCCACTTCCGACGATGACGCCGCCGCCGCCGCCGCAGATGATTTCGCCAGAGCAATTACAAGTTTTGCCTCCGCCGCCGCGACAGATTTGATGTCTGCTGCGATTGATCCAACCTCGGAGACGGGCTTCTTCGATTTGAAGCTGAGGGTCATCTCCATGGCGGCCTTGGCCGATGCCGCCTGCTCCTTGGAGACACGTATTTCCCTGTAGCACTTGGAGCAGAGGTTCATGTTGAACGGCGATCCAGATCGCTGGTTTTTGGTTGAGGAAGAGGAGGGATATGGAGTAGGGTCGATAACTAGCCAATTGAGTCGGTGGAGAAGCCACCCAGTGATGTCAATTTCAAGAATCCGACACTATTGTTACACCATGGCTGGGGAGGAGGATGAGAAATAGTCTCCATATATAGTTGGTGGTAACTCTGCCATCGAGGTCGTCGTCTCGGAAGCGGCCGGTTACCGCCACTGTCGGAGGCATTATTGTGCTTCAAAAACCCTCCCTTTCCTTGGTCCAAGCTGTGCCTCAAGCGGAGCTGGTCCTCCCAAAGTCATTGCGTGTTTGATTTGCAATCTGTAGGTTTTGATTTTAGGGATTGGAGATGGGTAGGTTGGGAGAAGAAAATCTTTGGTCCCTGTTGCCTCGTTTTTGTTTCAGAATAGAGGGTAGGTTGGGACTTGGGAGGAGAGAAGCTTTTTTGTTTTATTTATTTATTTGTTTTTATTTTTCAAAAATCAAAAGACCCAGCCATCTTAAAATTTTAAATTTTATTATTGTTCTTTTTTTATTTTTTAATTAAATCCACGTGAGAAATACGTACGAGACAAAAATCGCCACGTCAGACGATCTGTTAGTCCAGTCAGCACGTTAACTCACACCGTCAAAGAATTAGATAGTGGCTATTTTTGGTATTTCGCCAAAAGTGGCTATATTTGGCAAAACCGTCAAAATTTTGGCTACACATGTGTATATTGCCTAAAAAAAAGGCTAAATTACACGTTTGGTCACTCAAAATATACAAATCTTTCACGTTTGTCACCCGAATTACTTTTCTTTCTTATTCGCCACTAACTTTACGAATCATTTCACCGTCAGTCACTGACAGTCAGTATCCGTTAACACCGTCAACTTTTTGTTAATGTGGAAAATATAAATGCTGCATGGACTGACAGAAGGCTAAGATGGAATTTTTTATTAAAAAAAATTAACAAAAAATAAAATAAAACTTATCACCGTCGGCCCTCCGTCCCCTCTCTCCTTCTCGTACTCCTCCTCGCCTCCCCTCTGCAAATCCCTAAAATCGACCAACAGGGGAGGGGTTTGTAGGATGAGGTGCGGCCGACAAGCGGAGAATTGAAGGAGGCGGGAGTTGGATTTGATTGGGGGAGACGATAAGTAGTGAGATTCGGTACTTATCAAACACCGACCATTCATCTAAACCCCTAAAAGTGGTCAACCTCCCGAATCAAACACCTACGTCGCGATACAAAATCATATCCTCCCACCGTTACCTCATGCTTGTTGTGTTTTCGTCCTGCTGGCGATCCCGCGGCCGAGGCGGTGACGGCAAGGGCGCTGAACGGGTTGAGCAAGCACCGGAAGAAGCTGTTAGTGCATTGCAAGTATGCAGCGGGCGGCGGCGAGGAAAAAACCACTTCATTTTCCGGCTTGCCGTTCCACCGCTATATTTTCCTCCCTCCATTGTTATCGAAGAAACCCTCTCCCGCTTCTCAATCTAATTTCTAGTTGAAATGTAAGTATTAATTCCTTCGAGATTATCCAACAGCTGGAACTTAACGAGTGTCAGAACAGAAGCGTGCAATCGATAATCCAAACCAACACGAACGAACACAAATTTAACGTGGTTCACTAACACAATGTGTGCTAGCTAATCCACGTGCAGGGGGACAAATTTCACTGATTTTGAGGAGAGTACAGGTTACAAACCAAATTACGGACAAACCAAACAAACTAACCTGACTGACCTTACTACAGACTAGGGTGATGAAGAGTATTTATAGAACTCTTCTCCTAATCCCCAACAGAAAACCAAACACCTTTTCCCAAACATACAAGGAAAAGGTCAAAACAAAGCCCAATCTCAAACCCAAAACAAAATAGGCCCAAAACACAAAACAAACTCAAATCAAATTAAAGTCATATTCTAACAATCTCCACCTTGACTTGAATTCTCTGTCAAATACCAGATGTACCAAACGCAACCAAAGTTGCCAAATGTACCCAGACGCAACCAAAGTTTCCAGATGTACCAGATGTGATCGAAATCACCAAACCCAAACGCGATGCAAATCGCCAAACTCAGATGCAATCAGAATTGCCAGTCTTATCCAAGTGCGATTCATATCGCCAGACTCAAGTTCAACCAAAATTTCCAGACACCAAACTCTTCAAATCTCCGAACTTGCCAGAACCTCCCCTGCCTCCAGATGCCCCTAAGGGCGGTCAACAACTCAAACCATTCGGCAAGTCCAACCCATGCTGAGACTTGCCATTCAAAACCAGCTTGGTGCACTTATCACCAACAGAACATGTCAAAACAGAACATTGTAGATTATACAAGGCACCACGCTTGACACCTTTCAAAATCACCTTAGAACCCTTGTAGACAGACAACAATCCACCTTCACCTTTGAAGCTGAAACCCTTGCTGTCGAGTAGACTCAAAGATATCAGATTCTTAGTCATTTCTGGAATATGCCTAACATTATTCAAGGTGCGAACAGAACCATCATGTGTCCTCATCCTGATGGAGCCTATTCCAACAATCTTATAGATAGCACCATTGGCCATAGAAACATGCCCTCCATCTATCTGCTCATAAGTTGAAAAACACTCCCTGCTTGGACACATATGATAATCAGCTGCAGTATCTAAATACCACACATCCTGATGATGTACCTGTTCATTCACTGCTAAGGCTAAACCATCTTCAGAATCAGAGTTAGTTTCTTCCGCCACAGCAGCAGATGATTCCTTCTTCTCCTGATATTTCTTCAGTTTAGGAAAATCAAATTTCCAATGTCCTTTCTCCTTGCAGTAATGACAGATATCATCCTTCAAACCTGCAACTCCAAATCGACTTCTCAATCTTTAAATCCTGAACAAACATCCTTGGTGATCGAAAACCCTGATCACCACCAAGGGCAACAAACAGAATTCTCCCCACCGCGAACCAAAATTGGAGAACACCAGAAGTGATTCTTCCGACAACCCAAATCGAACACTATCTCCTGATACCGCAGCAGTCACCAAAATCCCTAGCCAATTGCCCAGCCGATCAACTAGGCTCTGATACCACTTGTCAGAACAGAAGCGTGCAATCGATAATCCAAACCAACACGAACGAACAAAAATTTAACGTGGTTCACTAACACAATGTGTGCTAGCTAATCCAAAGGCAGGGGGACAAATTTCACTGATTTTGAGGAGAGTACAGGATACAAACCAAATTCCAAACGTACAAACCAAACAAACTAACCTGACTGACCTTACTACAGACTAGGGTGATGAAGAGTATTTATAGAACTCTTCTCCTAATTCCCACCAGAAAACCAAACACCTTTTCCCCAACATACAAGGAAAAGGTCAAAACAAAGCCCAATCTCAAACCCAAAACAAAATAGGCCCAAAACACAAAACAAACCCAAATCAAATTCAAGTCATATTCTAACAACGAGCCTTCTACCATCCCCTACCAATAACTTACATGAGTTTTTAGTTTTTAACCTAGACATCTACGCTTGGCTGGGTGGAGACCTCTCAATGCTCGCTTAAATGGTCATCTACCTGGTTAATTTGGTCTTGGCGACTTAGCCTGCTAAAGTCTGATCCCCTGGTTTGAATTTAGGGATTTGCAGAGGGGGGTCGAGGAGGAGTACAAGAAGCAGAGGGGGACGAAGGACCGGCGGTGATGAGTTTTATTTTATTTTTTGTAATTTTTTGTTTTAAATAAAAATTTCATCTTAGCCTTCTGTCGGTCCAGTCAGCAACTCCGTTTGCCACATCAGCAAAAAAATTGACGGTATTAATAGAGTTTGACAAAGACTGATGGCCAGTGACTAACGGTGCAATGATTCGTAAAGTTTGTGGCGAATCAGAAAGAAAAGTAATTCGGATGACAAATGTGAAAATTTGTATATTTTAAGTGACCAAATGTGTAATTTAGAAAGAAAAAAAAACTAATAGCTAGGGTTTCAGGCCAAACAACTGTAATAAACCTTGTTAATCATGGAGTTCCCTTCCAAGGGTAGCCAGTAGTAGTGCCCACCAAGTTGATCATCATCCATCACATGCATATGGACATTAAAAGGGTCTACCCCAAAAGTCTCTCAAACTTTAGTCCTAGAAAACAATGGCCTTATACACAAGAGAGAAAGAAAAAAAATTGGTGGTCTCACTTTAGAGAAGTGGAATAGTGGTTGCTGCTCCCTCTCTAGATGGCACACTTCTCAAGGAGAGGATTAGGAGGTTCATTTGCCCGATTGATGCTGACCCTATCTCTCTCTCTCCTCTTCTCTTTTATATGTAGCCAAGGCTACCACCAAGAACAACAAAACAAGCTAATAACTTAATAAGTACACAAACTGGACAAGCACGAGAAGAGACGAAACTGCATGATTTTCTACCCTTCTTCTGGTACATCCAGCCAGCCGCAGCAGCATTCAACAGCTAGCTGGTAATAATTGACTTTATTACTTCCTGACTGTTGCAAACCCAATGCAGAAGAGAAGAGAAAGTGGAGACTTTCGGTTTTCATGCAAGTGAATGCATGACTACTCGAGATCTGTTCATTTCCAATATGCCTCACCAACAACAGCGACAGCACAAATCTTCGGGGGATGCAAAGGGCGAAAAGGGCTTTACCGGTCTCATGATGCGTGATCCAGTTGTTTACTGTTTCATTGAAAAGAAAAAAAATGAATGAAGTGAGTGTGTGTCCTTAAATAATAAAAAAGGTTAATCATAATTACTCTGACTCGTTAGTCTGAATGTTATTGGTGTATCAGTTTATACCATTGTTAAGAACCAATTGATTCCAATAACTCGAGTTATTTGGAGAAGATTATACTGGATCTTATACCAACTCGTGAGCTTGAAATTTACACAGGTCTACCATACCTTGTGCTTTAATCAACTGTTAATATGGTTGTGGAGATTCGAACACACGGTCATTTGGCCAAACCAGCTCTGATACCATGTCAAAAACCAATTGATCCCAATAACTCGAGTTTTGGGAGAAAGTTATGTTGGATCTTATACCACTCTCTAACAGTTACAAAGCAAAGAATAAATCATACAGACTTGTATGGTTGATGTATTAACAATGTGTTAGCTACTGTAGTATGACTCGGTGATTATTGTGTTAGTAATAGTGGTATAGGATTATTTAAGACCAACTGGTTCTTGATATGGTATCAGAATTTTCGGTAAGCAAAATGGCTTCATTTGTTAAACACGTGGTATCTAGAACTATGCAAACTTGAATTCTATATATATGGTTAGGTGTGTTACTAAGTGATATATATATATATATATATCCATAATTGAATTTCTGCCAACAATTCGATTTATTGATACCAATTAGTTATTGGTGATTTCAACGGGAGAATA